GGGGGGGGTGGGGGCGGTGATTTAAAATTTGGGAGGAGGGGGCCAATAGATTGAGTTTCGGAGCCATGAGGTCATGTTGCAGCTGTACAAAACTCTGGTGCGGCCGCACTTGGAGTATCGCGTACAGTTCTGGTCGCCGCGTTACAGGAAGGATGTGGAAGCATTGGAAAGGGTGCAGAGGAGATTTACCAGGATGTTGCCTGGTATGGAGGGAAGGTCTTATGAGGAAAGGCTGAGGGACTTGAGGCTGTTTTCGTTAGAGAGAAGAAGGTTAAGAGGTGACTTAATCGAGACATACAAGATGATCAGAGGATTAGTTAGGGTGGACAGTGGGAGCCTTTTTCCTCGGATGGTGATGGCTCGCACGAGGGGACATAGCTTTAAATTGAGGGGTGATAGATATAGGACAGATGTCAGAGGTAGGTTCTTTACTCAGAGAGTAGTAAGGGCGTGGAATGCCCTGCCTGCAACAGTAGTAGACTCGCCCACTTTAAGGGCATTTAAATGGTCATTGGATAAACATATGGATGATAATGGAATAGTGTAGGTTAGATGGGCTTCAGATTGGTTTCACAGGTCGGCGCAACATCAAGGGCCGAAGGTTCTGTGTTCTATATGTTCTCAGACTTTGGAACGCTGCCTCAGAAACAGGAGCGATTTTGTCATCGGAACAGACAGGCCCTCAGTCGAGTGAAACTTCTTTGTAGGCCTCTTGGGGGGGGGTGGGGGGGGTGGGGTGGCTTTGAGGGGGGTTACCCAACCCCCCCCCCCAAGCTTGTAATCGGACGGGAGTTTGGGGGCAGGTGGGGGGTGTGGGGAGGGCTGTTTATCGGGCATCTGTGGTCGCCAACCCGACTCGAAAGGGGGTAGCAGATTCGAGGGGCACGTTTCGGCCCCCCGCATTCGACCTGTGACCCTTCTCCACACCCCCCCCGCCCCTCCAGGAAGGGTTTATGAGGTCACAGCTCCAGCGCCCCCACCCCCCCACTTCGGGTCACAGTCGGAGAACTTCAAGTGAGTTGGGTGGGGGGGTTCCACACTCTTAAATCCATCAAGCCCCCTCCAGCCACCCACATAAGCCCGCTCCACGCCCAAGACCCCACCCACAGCTCCCCCCCACCCCAACCCCACCCCACCGGTTGCTAAGCGCATTTTACGACTCCCTGTCCGCTGACTGCGACAGAGCATGGGCACTTCACCCCTTTGACCGAGGGTCTCGATGAGTTCTGGCCCTCCACCCGGGCAGGTGCCAACTCTGAACGGCCACCTCCTCGAACTGCTACGGAGCGACGATGAAGGTGGGCAGGGGTTTGGGTGGTGGGGGGGGGGATCGTGGGGGGGGGGGGGGGAAGGGGGCCGGGGGCCCACATTCAACAATCTTCTTTTGTCTCCCCGCCCCCCCCCCCCGCCCCGCAACCTTCGATCGCGCCTCCAGTACCACCCCCCGCCCCGAGCCGAGGTGGGCGCTACAGCAATGCAGGTTTTTCTCTAGCAGGAGGCGGTCTCATGAGGAATGCTTGGCTGAGCTCCAACACTCCCTCCATCCCCCACCGATGCTCAGAGGTAGATTGTCTCATTGGGAATGCTTGGCTGAGCTCCAACACTCCCTCCCTCCACCACCACCGACGCTCAGAGGTAGATTCTCTCATTAGGAATACTTGGCTGAGCTCCAACACTCCCTCCCTCCACCACCACTGACACATGGCAACAGCAGTGTGTACTGTCTATGAGATGCACCGCAGTGACTCGCTGAGGGTCCTTCCACAGCACCATCTGAACCTGCCACTTCTATCATCCCCCCCCCCCCCCCCCCCCCCCCCCCCCCACACACCACCTCCTGCAATTCCCCTCCAAGACCAACCCACCCCCACCGTCCCCCCCACCCCATCCCACCTGCAATTGACAGTGGCCTTTTCTTCAGTGTCAGAATCCTGGAATTCCCTCCCTAATCTTTCTACAGTGGTTCAAGAAAGTGGCTCACAACCACCTTCTCGAGGGGGAGTGTAGGGACGGCCAATAAATGCTGGGCCCTGTCACATGATTTCCACATTCCCAAGAACCACTGGAAAAAACGGGTGGCTAAAGTAGGAGAGCTTCCGGTGCAGGGGGAAAAGAAACTGGAGGAAAATTGAAAGATAATCCATTATCACTGTTTGTAGTCCGACGCTATAGCGTGTCCATAAAAATTGTGCAAACCTGAACTTGCAACCCGCTGGGAGCCATCTTCTTTGAAGAAATGGCCTGTGTGACCAAAATGGCCGCCACACAGTACAGAAAGACCTGCAGGAAAGAAAATAGAGATTTTAAAAATAAACAGCCTTAAATACTTGGAAATGAACATTGATGATGAGACCGCAAGACACAGGAATGGAAGTAGGCCATTCAGCCCATCGAGTTCGCTCCACCAGTCAATGATTTGATTGTCCTCAAATCCACTTTCCAGTCGTTTCCCCATAACCCCTCGATTCCCCTTTCTGGTTAAGTGTATCTCTCTCTCTCTCTCAGCCTCTAATATAACCCCTCGATCCCCCTTCCTGATGAAACATCTCTCTCTCAGCCTCGAATATAACCCCTTGATCCCCCCTTCATGATTAAACATCTCTCTCTCAGCCTCGAATATTACCCCTCAATTCTCCTTCCTGATTAAACATCTTCTCTCAGCCTCGAATATAACCCTCAATTCCCCTTCCTGATTAAACATCTCTCTCTCTCAGCCTCAAATATAACCCCTCAATTCCCCTTCCTGATTAAAAATCTCTGTCTCAGCCTCAAACATAACCCCTCGATTCCCCTTCCTGATTAAAAATCTCTCTCTCAGCCTCGAATATAACTCCTTGATTCCCCTTCCTGATTAAAAATCATTCTCACAGAGTCATACAGCACAGAAACAACCCCTTCGGCCCAACCAGTCCATGTTAATCATAATCCCAAACTAAACTAGTCCCATACCTGCCTTCTCCTGGCTCATACCCCTCCAAGCCTTTCCTATCCATGTACTTATCCAAATGTCGTTTGAACGTTGTAACTGTACCTACATCCACCACTTCCTCTGGATGTTCATTCCCTCTGTGTAAAAAAAAATTGCCCCTCATGTCCTTTTTAAATCCTTCTCCACTCACCTTAAAAATATGCCCCTGCCACTCACCTTATCCAAGCCCCTCATGATTTTATAAATCTCTCTAAGGTCACCCCTCAACCTCCAACGGTCCAGTGAAAAAAGTCCCAGCCTGTCCTTATAACTCAAATACTCCATGCCTGGCAACATCCTGGTAAATCTCTTCTGAACCCTCTCTAGCTCAACCCGTAAGGAATCTGTAAAAAAGCCTGAATCTGAAGAACGGCTGCAAGATGCACACTACTCTCAGGCCACCACTTTAGAATCTAAATTTCTCTTTTGCGGACGATTCCAAGATTGGTGGTATAGTGGACAATGAAGAAGGTTATGTTGGGATATAGTGAGATATTGATCAACTGAGCCAGTGAGCTGAGGAATGGCAGATGGAGTCTAATTTTAGGTAAATGCAAGGTGTTGCATTTTCGTAAGAGAAACCAGGGCAGGACTTGCACAGTCAACGGTAGGGCCCTGGGGAGTGTTATAGAACAAAGAGATCTAGGGGTGCGGGTTCATAGCTCCTTGAAAGTGGAGTCATAGGTAGACAGGGTGGTGAAGAAGGCTTTTGGCATGCTTGCTTTCATCAGTCAGAGTATTGAGTATTGGAGTTGGGACGTATTGCTCCAGCTGTATAAGACGTTGGAGAGGCCACATTTGGAATACTGCGTTCTATTCACCCTACTAGAGAAAGGATATGATTAAGCTAGAAAGAGTGCAGAAAAGATTTACGAGAATGCTACCTGGGCTGGAAAGTTTGAGTTATAAGGAGAGGATGGATGGGTTGAGACTTTCCCCCTGGAGCATAGAAGACAGAATGTGGCCTTATAGAGGTCTATAAATGAATGAGATAAGGTGAATAGCCAATAGCTTTCCCCCATGGTAGGGGAGACTAAAACTAGAGAGCATTGGTTGAAGGAGAGGGGGAGAGATACAAAAGGGTCAATTTTTTTCACAACAGACCGTGGTGTCTGGAACGGTCTGGCAGAGGTAGGTGGTGCATTCATTGCTCCCAACGTGGTCTTCGCTACATTGGGGGATCAAAGGGTAGACTCGGTGACCGCTTCGCACAACACGTACATTCTGTCTGCGGAAAAAAAAAGAAACGACCCTGAGTTCCCAGTTGCCCGCCACTTCACCGCACTGCCTCATTTCTGGGCCAACGTCTCTGTCTCGGGATTGCTGCATCGCTCCTGTGAAGCTCAGCGCAAGCTGGAAGAAAGAACAGTGCCTCGTTTTCCATTTACTGCCTCTGGACTCAATATCGACTTCGACAATTTTAGGGCTTGAGGCACCTTCTCCTGTGTCCTAACCCCAACACCCCCCCACATACACACACACCAGGCCTTGTTATCACAAGGTCTGCTGTTACACACAACCCACTGTTAGCCACTAATCGTCCCAGGCTGACCATTATCCACTCCTTTGTCTGTCCAACTGTCCTTCTCTCTCTTTGGGCTCTATCCCCGCCTGTTGTTTACTCCTGGGCCCCTCCTCCCACCCTGTCTTCTACATAGAAACCAACCACCATCGATTCTGAAGGAGGGTCGCTGGACCCGAAACCATTTTCTCTCCACAGACGCTGCCAGACCTGCTCAGATTTTCCAGCGAGTCCCCGTTTTGTTGCTGATTTCCAGCATCTGCAGTTTGTTTTTTGACGAGCCGGACTAGCGTGTCTGACGTGGAATTTCTATCGAGAATGCCCGTTTGACTCTTGCAAAGTTGGCACCTTGGAACGTCGCACTGGCCTAGAATGAGCAATGTGGGTGTGTGTGTGTTTTGATTTTGTACCTCTCTTCACCCTGTGATCCAGATGCAAAAGTAGGGGGTTAGATCAGTGAGGTTGCAGACACAAAAAAAAACAGCAGGGAGGAAAATGTCAGGACTGTAACTGGATGTAGCTGGGCTGGACAGATTACCAGAACAGCAAAGAAGGTTACTTCAGACTACAACAGACCTTGATCAGATGGGCTTATGTGCGGCAGATGGAGTTTAATTTAGATAAATGTGAGGTGCTGCATTTTGGGAAAGGCAAACCAGGGCAGTACTTATACACTTAATGGTAAGGAGTGTTGCTGAACAGAGAGACCTTGGGATGCTGGATCATAATTCCTTGAAAGTGGAGTTGCAGGTAGACAGGGCGGTGAAGAAGGTGTTTGGTACGCTTGCCTTTATTGGTCGGTGAATTGAGTGTAGGAGTTGGGAGGGTCATGTTGTGGCTGTATTGGCCAATTTTGGAAGACTGCGTTCAACTCCATTCAACTGTAGGAAGGACGTTGTGAAACTGTAAGTGTTTGGAAAAGATTTTGCCAGGGTTGGAAGGTGTAAAGTGTAAGGAATAGGGAGAGGCTGAATAGTCTGGGGGCTATTTTCCCTGGAGCATTGGAACCTGAGGGGTGACCTTATCATAGAATCCCTACAGTATGGAAACAGGCCATTCAGCCCAAGTCCACACCACCCCTCTGAAAAGCATTCCACCCAGACCCATAATCCTACCCCTGATTTCCCATGTCTAACCCACCTAACCTAAACATCCCTGGGCACTATGATCAATCCACCTATCCTGCACATCTGTGGACTGTGGGAGGGACCCGGAGCACCCGGAGGAAACCCCCACAGACACACGGGGACAATGTGCAAACTCGACACAGACAGTCGCCCGAGGCTGGAATCAAACCCGAGTCCCTGCTAACCACTGAGCCACTGTTGGCAGCAGTGGGATATACAGGTTTATATGAGGGACATGGATAGGGTAAATAGACAAGATCTTTTTCCCCCCAGGGTAGGGGAGTCCAAAACTAGAGGGGCATAGGTTTGATAGGGGAAAGGGACCTAAGGGGCTACTTTTTCACGCGGATGTTGGTGTGTGTTTTTTTTATTCGTTAACGGGATGAGGACGTCACTGGCCAGGTAGCATTTATTGCCCACCCCTATTTGCCCAGAGTCAACCACATTGCTGAGGGTCTGGAGTCACATGTAGGCCAGACTGGGTAAGGATGGCAGTTTCCTTCCTTAAAAGACATTAGTGAACCAGATGGCTTTTTCCTGACAATTGACAACAGATTTACGGTCATCATTAGGCTCTTAATTCCAGATATTTATTGGATTCAAATTCCACCATCCGTGGTAGGATTTGAACTTGGGTCCACCAGAACGTTGTCTGAGTCTCTGGATTAACAGTCCAGTGATAATACCACTAGGCCATTGCCTCCGCAGAGGTGTATGGAATGAGCTGCCAGAGGCAGTGGGTGGGGGCTGGTACAATGACAACATTTAAAAAGCATCTGGATGGGTACGTGAATAGGAAGGATATGGGCCAAATGGGACTAGATTAATTTAGGATATCTGGTCGGCACGGACGGGTTGGTCTGTTTCCATGCCGTATATCTCTATGACAGCGGCAGATGGGGGTTTAAACCTGACAAGCATGAAGTGATGTGTTTTGGGAGGACTATCAACACAGGGCCCTAGGATCAGAGGGACCTTTAGCTGTGCATGTCTGTAGATTCTCAAAGCTGGACAGGTAGACACGGTGATGAAAAAGGTGGTTTAAAAATCGGTATATGAAATACTTGCATTTATTAGTCAAAAAAAAGTTGCCCCTCATGTCCTTTTTAAATCTTTCTCCTCTCAACTTAAACATATGCCCCCTAGTTTTGAACTCCCCCACCCCTAGGGAAAAGACCTCAGCTATTTACCCTATTTATGCCGCTCATGATTTTATAAATCTTGATAAGGTCACTCACCTCCTACGCTCCAATGAAAAAAGTTCCAGCCTCTCATTATAATTCAAACCCTCCATACCTGGCAACATCCTGGTAAATCTCTCCCGAACCCACTCCAGTTTAATAATATCCTTCCTGTAACAGGGCGACCAGAACTGGACACAGTGCTCCAGGAGAGGCCTCACCAACGTCCCTGTACAACCTCAACGTGACGTCCCCAACTCCTGTACTCAAAGGGTCTGCGCGATGAAGGCAAGCGTGCCAAACCCTGAGGCACTGAATGCAAGAGCGGGAAAGTTATCACCGATCTGCAATGTTAGTGAGGCTACAGCTGGGAGGACTGTGTGCAGTTCTGGTCTCCCGCACGACAGGAAGGGTGTGATTGTACTGGAAGGGCTGCAGGACGTTGCCTGGGATGGAACGATTCAGCGACAAAGCCAGGCCGGACAGGCTGGGGTTGTTTACTTTAGAGAGGAGAAGGCTGAGGGAGGGGACTTGGTGGAGGCGCAGAAAATTCTGAGGGGCATCAGGTAGATAGGGAGATCTTCAGAGTATTAAAGATAAGGAGCAGGAGGCTTGGACTGAGGGGAGAGCTTTTTATTTTCACCCAGAGAGTGGTGGGGATCTGGAACTCACTGCCTGTAAGGGTGGCAGAGATGATAGGTCTTCAAGAGCAGAATTAGGCCTTTTGGCGCATTAAGTCTGCCCCACCATTTGATCATGGCTAATATGTTTCTAGACTCCATTCTCCTGCCATCTCCCCGTAACCTTGATCCCCTTACTAATCAAGAATGCATCTGTCTCTATCTCAATGACCTGGCTTCCACAGCCCTCTGCCACAGTAGGTTCCCTAGATCCACTGCCCCTCTGGCTGAAGAAATTCCTCGAGATCTTGGTTTGAAAGGGCCGCCCGTTTACTCTGAGGCTGTGCCCTCGGTTCCTAGTCTCTCCGACTGGTGGGAAACATCTTCTCCACGCCCGCTTTATCCAGGCCTCTCAGTGTTCGGTAAGTTTCAAACAGATTCCACCAACTCACCCCACCAACATCCTACTAAACTCCATCAAGTACAGGGCCAGAGTCCTCAACTGCTCCTCACAAGACAAGAGTTTCATCCCAGGGATCGTTCTCCTGAACCTGCTCTGGGCCCCCTCTGAGGCTGGCTTAGCTACAGGGCTTGAAACCACTCACAATGTTCCAGATATGGCCTTCCAACTTCAGCCTTCTGTTCTTGTATTCTAACCCCTCTGGAAACGAATGCCAACGTGACATTTGCCTTCCTAACTGCCAACTGAACCTGCGCATTAACCTGAACAGAATCCTGAATTAGAACCCCCAAGCCCCTTTGCGCTTCGGATTTCCGAAGCCTTTCCCACTTTGGAGAATAATGTGTGACCGAATGAGTGGAATACAGGCACTTGTTGCCAGGCCAGAAGAAGAGGTTCTGCTTTCAAGGGTTAACAGTGAGGCAATATCGCACTGACACACTCCACCCAGCAGTTCCCACAAGAATGCAAGACCTGATTAAAACAGGATCTGGAGAAGGATGTGCCACGTTCGTTGAGTTGTTGAGAGACGAAATCTGGCTGAAGGAAGGTTCAAAGACATGAATGCAGTGCACACACACCTGTCAGAGCCCCACCTCTCCGAGCTAGTGTACTCTGGACCTCGCCATGACTAGAGGGTTTGCCATGGTTATGTTTAGCTGCACCAGTCCCTGGATAGACCACCTCGAGAGTGAGGAGGGAGCTACACAAGGCACCGCGCCTTAGGGATGACATATGGGCCTCGTGGGGAATGCAGGGCAGATTGACAGGAATGTAATAAACAGGAAGTGCTGCCGAAAATCACCAGGCCTGACACACCCACCCTGTCCCTGTCACGCCCTCCAGCCCCTCCCTATCTCTGTC